GTTGCGGAGCACAGGCCACGGTGTTTGGCTGCTCCAGCTGAGAAGAGAGCACCTACTGGGCTTTTCCCATGATGATGAGAGCCGCTCTGCTCGGTCCAGTCAGCAGGCAGTGGATAAGGGCCCCCGAGCTGCTCCCACCTCCACTCTCTCCCCTTCCCTGAGGCCCCCCGAGCCTCCCCTCTCCCTCCCTTCCTCTAAGTCCCCTCAAGTCATGATCTGGCCCGTAAATTAGTACTGGGAGAGAAATAGGTTCTGTAAGATGAAACTGGGTTTCTGTGTGTATCAGCACACGACTCAGGGGAGACAAGAGAGAAGAAGCAGGCAGTAAATCCATTGGAGTCCACTGATAGCGCCTGTTTGCACAGCCACTGCCGCTTCCTTTGATCAAATGGCTGGGGGAGCGGGGGGTCGTGTGGCGCTGCCGAAGGTCAGCTATATATTACACTCCTAAAAGTGATTACTGAAATTCTTAAGTGAAACCATTCTGCTGCCAGGGTGTGCTCTAATCCCCTGCAGCGTTGTCTGGGCCAGGGCTGGGGCCGGGGCCTCTCTGTGGATCTGTGCGCCCAGCACTCCTTTTCCCCTTCCCCACTTGTGTTTTCTATCATCAGAGCAGTCCTAAAAAAGAGCCCCTACATGGAAACATGGCCTATCCAGTTGCAATATCAACTGCTGGGGCTCGGAGGAAAGAGAGAGCGCGAGAGAGAGAGAGAGAGAGAGAGAGAGAGAGGAAAGGTAGTGTCAGGAAACAGAAATATGCACACACTTCAAAGGCTGGGGCAGCAAATTAAGGGTTAGGCATTGGACACGACAGTAAGTGGCCTTTACATCAGAAACAGGGTAAACAATGTCTGGATTGTGTTTCGCTTCTTTCCTCTGTGTTGTTGCATAAAGACCCCCCGGCTCTCCATCTGCACGCGGGCTGTGCTGTAGGTAGAGCACTAAAAACAGCTCAATGACGTTTTCTTTTTTTCCTTTTTGACATTGAGCAAATCGTTTTCATCAATTGAGCCATGATGAAATGTTTCGTATCCATGCCACCGATGTGTGTAAATGAACGGAAAATCTGACACAGTTCTTGCAGAATGAGTGAGTATGTAATGTAGTGTAATAAAGCCTCTGTTAAAATTCCACAATTTATGACTGGTAGCTAATCCTTGCCACAATGTTACACTGTATCAAATCCATTACAAGCACGTATAAAACAGAAGTGCTGCTTTTAAGCGTGATACAAACAAGCTTCAGGAGAGAAAACTCTGTGTGTGTGCCTGTGTGTGTTGTGTGTGTGTGTGTGTGTGTGTGTGTGTGTGTGTGTGTGTGTGTGTGTGAGAACACATGGTTTCTACAGAGGCATCACAGTTGAGATTGAGCCAGCCAACATGATCTAAACAAGAATTATGTGAAGTCATGCTCTATGAAACTTTATACACATTTGCTGATCATTACCTAAGATTGCTTTGTGTTAACTTTGGCAGACCAACTCTTGGCTCTCGGACTGAAAAAGGGATGATGTATTTCCTCTTATTTATTATTTGCACTGGGCTACTGAGAGTGAAAGGGAGGGGGGAGAAAAAAAGAGAGAGTGTGAGTGGTATGCCTGTGACTGGTGCATCGATGCCAGGAATAACAGAATGAAACTTGCTCCTCAGCCTCATTAGTGTGTAGAAAACAGTTCCCAGGAGACACAACAGAGTGTAAATACATTTAAAACTCTTTACACTGCAGGATGCTACATGCCAACTTCTCCCTATTTCTGCTTTTTTTTTTTTACCCCCCTTAAAACGAGAATGTAAACGGCATCGAGTGCTGCAAGTGCGTAGGCTTCAAAAGAGTTGCAACCCCATGTTGCACGTCTCATAAATTCTAGTGAGGGAATTCAAAGAGAAATTTATCGAGCATGGCATTCACACATGTTGACAGTAAAGAGGGCCAACTGCACACCGGGTCTTGGGAATTTGTAGGAGCACATGGCCCCTTTTTTTGCTTTGAAACACCCTCTTTGACCCTTTGTCTGCTTATGCAATGTCTCTGCCCTTTCCATTATGAAGAAAAGATAGGAAAATTTATATGAGACACAAAAGCCTATCGCAGTGTCCTATAAATTAGAAATGTCAGATATAGTGTTGTAAACACGGAGAGATTTATCTATTGATATTACATGATCAGAGCTCGTGATACAGCATTTCATGGACACTTCTTCAAGCATTACCCCCTGAAGCAGGTGCACTGTTATCCCAAATAAGGCAATGTGCTATAACATCATCATTTCCCAACATTTGTTTATAATATGAACATGAAGTCCCTGCCATCTGCTTCCTCCCTGCACTGCCTTTTCTTCAGTTGTTTGTACAGTAACGGAGGTGTTTATCGTCTTTGGATGTTGCCAGTTTCACTAGAGAGAGGACCGCAGAGCACCTATGGGACTCAGCATACAGGACCACACTTTTGGCTCCGCTGCCTGTTGACACAGCTGCTATCATGCTGAAATGATCCAATTCAGGGGTGGTGAACATATCCTCGCACACTTACCTACACGCACACAAAAAGCACATGAAGACACGCATAACATGTTTGTCTTTTCCTTTTAAATGTCATTAAGTGCTGTTCAGACACAGCTTGATATTGACTTTGGTGGAATAAGGCCGCTCTTGCCCTTTTGTTGTTGCCTGACTTACGGTGGTTCATTCAGAGGGTGCCTCACAGGATGCTACAAAGTGTGTGCTTCCTCGCTATCAGCTGCTGCTGCGAATCATCAAAAGAGGTCTTTGAGGTTCATTTAAATCTCTGCCTGCCACGTCCAAGATGTACAACCCTGAGCCAATGAATAGGAGAATGGGATTTTTTAAATCATGTTTTCATTTTATTTGGACAACTCCACTTTTCTAGTTTTTTTTTTTATGATGTGCAGAGTCATCTGGTTACTGTACAGCTCCTCGGCAGAACTGTGCAGGTCCTGAGTGATGGAGAAAAGCTGAGAACGGAGAGTGAGAAAGTAAATAAAAATCTGTATGATAATAAATTGCATCACTAGTAATTCTATCCAGTGCTGGTCTGTGGTGCGCTGCAGTGTGCAGAACCCCCTTTATATGCGGGGGCCCAGGGAGATCTGCTGATAACATGGGGATTGATGCAGGCCATTAAAGGAGCGTGTGTGCTGGGCTGAAGGGGTGCGTTACATTTGGCCCCCACAACAGCACTGTATATCAGCATGTTGTCACCTGGGCTGATGTCACAGCAGGTCCTTCGGCTAAGAAAACACACTCTCTGTCCTGGGTGGGTGACCAGCACAGACTCACTCACTACCCACTAATGTGCTACTCGTGCCGAGGGGCGTGCGTCGTTTCGGGTTCACGGCCTTTCCAAATGTAATCCATAACCAATTAGGCATTGTGCGTGTGTAACTATAGAGACCTTTCAACAAAACAAAATGATGCGGTCCAGCATGTGGACGGGAAAAAGTGAAACAAAGGCTGCTTCAGGACCAGACATTCCTGTAATAGTCCTGTTTTTATTACGTGGATGGGGAGGTTATGAAGCTGCACGACAACATCAAAACAAAAAAACATACTAGGGTTGTGTTTAGGCAGTCAGGGCACTGTGGAGAGCTCATGGCCATCTCACCATGGTGCTGTAACTCTCATACTGGAACACTTGTGTGCGTTTCATACACTACGCACCTTGAAACTATCTGACAACCAGTTTCAGTGAAGGCAGTCTGTCCCCCCGGTGCATCCACCCCAGGGTCACTTCCTGTTTATCTTTTCATAATCTCTTTCTTGCCACCCCCACCTTTCCCCCTCCTATTGGGAACATTGTGTTTTTCAGGGATGTAAAAGCAGCAACAGGCTTGTCATTACAGGATCATGGATCTTTGGATTTAAGTCTGTTAAATCAAAGGACAGTGTTAATTCACTGCACCAGCTGGGTGTGATTCATTTTACTATGGTAAATAACTGTTTTTTACCCTGTCAGCTATTTCCATTTCTCTCATTTTTCTTCTGATTCCATCCTTGAAGGACCAGGTGTACAGCTGCATGCCATCTTCATACCTGGGATAACACACTAATCATACAGTTGGCTCCTCATTTAAATGTGACGTGCAGCGGGAAAGGGCTTGGACCATTTGATAACATGTCCAGGAAGAAATATTTATTTTATTTTATACTTAATTCCATAATGGTGTAGCTGGAGAGAGAATATCAAAGCGTACAAAAACTAGAAGTCATTCTCGCACTTTAAATACATATATTTCATTTTCACCTTTATTTATTCAGGGGAATGTCATTGAGAGCAATGCTCTCTTTTCCAGGAACGCCCTGACTCACACCTGGAAGCTGCCCAGTACAACCAGTCTGGATCTGTTGTCCACTGAGCAGCTCCACCGGGGCAGTTGGGGTCTTGCAAGGGAACCTCAGTGGTGATAATGAGGGAGGGGTCGTGTACCCACCCAGATTTATCTTGTTGGTCCAGAGAATTGAACCGGCAACCTTCTGGCTCGCTTGTCTAACCTTCAACACCACTGTGGTCCTCACAGACAACATATCAGGATTTACTTCTATAGATTCACTAATAGATCTAATTTCACCTTGAAATGAACTTCATACACTGACCATCTAAATTAAACAAGTTAGTTTTTAGTCAGTTGCATTAATGATATTTTTCAGGATTTACTTCACGGGTTGCATCATAATGATACCAAATACAATCATGCAATCAGTAACTATGTATCCACTCAATACCACATTAAAAAAACAATAAAATTACCATTTAAAATTAGACTTGGACCTACAATACTAACAATCGGATTAAGTGATATCATTACTGTATCGGCAGATTCCCAATTATAGGTACCAGAAAGGAACTGAAAAAAAAACTCAGCAGTCATTGTATTTCTATTTAAAACAAGAACTGCAACAAATGTTTGAATGAAGAGAATAAAGTCAGGACAGTTAAAACTTCTATTCAAATATTATTATTATTGTTTTGAAAGTCCACTCAAGTCCAACAAATCAAACGCTTTATTTAAATACCATATCTCATACACGGAGGAACTAAATGTGCAAAGTAAGTGCATTTACAAATACGTGACAACAGTAGCAACAGAATTTGTAAATACATGCAACCAAATAGCTAAGCGTGTATCAGTATTACACTGAAAATTCAATTTAATGAAAAGGAAATCTTTAAAATTCAAGTAAATCAATTCATTAAAAATATTCTTTATCATGATAGTATAGGCAAGTTAGTGGTCTAAGGAAATGTTAAAATTAGGTGGCATGCTGAGCTAAAAAGGCTCTTATTCTGTGGAGAAGCTCTTTCTTGACGCTGTCTGGCACCAAAGCTGCAAGAGAGAAAGATATCCATGACTAGGACTTATTTTTTCACACAGATACAATCTAATGCAAGTGGTGCTGCAAAACTCCTGTATATACACTCACACCACACACCATCATACATCCATTACTGGAAACATAACATCTTGTGACTGCATCACTTTCTACTGAGGCTACTGTGAACTAACTGGCATCTCTGTGTCCTCTTTGATGGATGAATAGCAAAGCCTAAGTGTTCTGTTTGCAATGTAGCGGTGTGTATATTACTTAAACATGTATTTAACAATGTTGTCTTTTAGGATAGATTTCTAGGAATCAAGCGTGGTTAGCAGTGAAAATGAGACGAGCATGGCAATACAAGCTGCACAAAATCTCTTCAGTTCTTCCAAATAGTCATGTTAAGATACCTCTTCCTTTAGGAGTGATCTCTACCACCAGGTCCTCCACAGTGACGTGCTCAAAGCCTTTTTCTTTGATTACTTCTACAGACAAAAAGTGGATGATATGTTAAGAATGCTTAAAAATCACAAAACACACAAACAGCACTGCTCCATGCAGCGTGTGCAGCCTAATAAGAGTTCCACAGAAGGAACCGCTGCACTTAAGTTTCAACAGTCAAATATGTGATATACTTTATTATGTCCTAAACAGTCTCTGCTCTTAAAGCTCTGAAGGAAGTTGTGATTTGCTCAGTTTAGTTGTAGAGCTGACTCATGCTTCAATGGCAGAACAAAGTGAGGAAATACATATCAGTCATGTTATTGATAGAACTTCTGTTTACGTTCTAGACACATGGCACAATAGGGCCTTTTCACAACATTTCCATATGCCACATAGAAAAAACACAGGTGCAAATAATACAATTTATGATGGCCGAATTCCATTTAGCTTCAGTTTCAGGCTCCTGATATTGTTCACTGCCACAACTTACAGGGACATCTGGATAGATCAGAGATCACCATCATTCATTTTATTTTTTGCACCTGTGTTTTTCCTACTATGAAAAGTCCAAATGTCTGCTGGGAAAAGGGCCTGTTTGACTTTTAAAACACAGTTCTCACACAACACAGCTTTTTGAAGTATTGCAGTAATACTTTTGATTCCTGTGAGTTTGTTTTGCTCTGACAGACCAACAGTTACAGTTGATACAGATATGTCTTAACATGTGAAACTGCATCACAATGTAATAATCTAAACTGGAACCTGTTATTATGGTTATACTTACTGATAGCTCTGTAAACACATTTGTTATCTCAGTTAAGTCAGTAACAATTCATGATGCTGTAAAAGGTCTGTGTATATCAATAGTGTGTAAAACAGACCTATATTTTGACTTACGATCAGTATAAAAATGCAGAAAATGTAATGTATGTAATATAATTTAAACTCTTTAAATATGACTTAAACCTCAAAGTTATGTACGCAATAAACGTGCACGGTCCTTTAAAGTGTATATATATATATATATATATATATATAAGGTTCACAAGACGGACAAGTAAGCAGATGACAACATCTTTCGGTTTGTTTGGGAGTCAACCAATAGCAGCAAATCAATGACCATTTACGTTATGTGTTTTAACAACAGTACTGTAATGTGTACCTTTGCAGTGAGCTTTCATCTGGTCCTTCCATCCACACTCAGTGAGTTTGGCCCTCAGTAGCTCCTTCAGCCTGTCAATAAGATGCAAACGTGTGAAAGTATAGCAGGCACGTGTCTGTCCTATGCTGACATAGTCAACAGTGGCATCCTGAATACAACATATCCTCTCTCACATTCTCTCTGTGATGTTGAGATATGCACTGTTCAGATTATGCAGAGTGATGCGTCTTTGTGTGCCAGAAAAATGAATCAGGGATTGCAGCAGCAGTCTCCCTCCTAGCCTGGAGGAGTTATTTGACGTAGGCCTGAAGTATAGTCTGATATGTTGAGAATATCAAGACATACATGTGCAGTATATTTAAATCTGACAGCTGAATATCGTCCCTATGGCCTGGAGCAGCTACACATATTCTATATTCATACAATATGCCAGGTTAGTTCCTCACGTCTTTGCTGAACAAAAAGGAATAAAGTAGCTGATAACCCTTCACAATACTACAGAGGTGTGTTATTGCACATCTTTAAACAATATCTAATGAGAAATATAGTAAAATAGACACCTATCTGAAGACAGAAAACGTATTTAGCTGTAAAACAATGGCTTAACTTTCATCAGCAGTTAGTCACAATACTGACGCAGCATGTAGGCGGATAATAACACACAGCTATTTGACGTCGTTAAATAGCATTAACGTTAACTACTTATTAAAAACAAGCTGTTTGTTTATCTCACCTCTCTCGTTCCCCCATCTCTGTCAGCTTCTGGTTTATCGTTGCCCTCATTCTGGACTCTTTACTCATAGTCTTTTACCTGCAAGGAGAAAAACAACAGCGAACTATAACACAGCCTAACGTAGCTAGGGACTAGCTACGTTAAACTAGCTAAATCTCTCATAATAATATCACCTATTCACGATTTTAAATCAGTAATTAACTAGTCTTTACTGGCTTAAATGCTATATTAGGTCAATGTTTACTTACACACTAGAGAAGGATGAAATAAAGAGGTCTCACTCCTCGGTTTTACCACAGTGGCTCTGTGGCGTACATGGGAAAGTTACGATGAAATAAGGTCAACTGGCTCTGAAAACACAGCAGACACATTCAGAACAAACATCACAAAGTCCCGCAGCCACTATGAGCTAAGATATACGTCTCATTTACGTTTTTCAACTGTTCAAAACTGTACTTGATATGTCGCTAAAGATAGCACAGGCTTTTTGATTTTACGGGCTTTACCATCAGCTTTCACACTCCGACAGGAAACACTGATTGTACATTGGTACCTACCTCTATTTAAATGCAATACTCTGTTGCGCCACACAGCGGCAGTGTCGGTCAATACATTTAATCAAAGCCAGTCCTGCAGCAGACTTTCACCTCCCGCCTCCCTTTACGAGGATTTTATCAGTTCTTGTTGGTATTTTCTGCATCCTACACTTGTTTTATGAGCTTATATTTCATATTGTATTATTCTATTGGGTTTGACTCTATCCCAGTGGGTTCATTTCATACTTTATTGCAGTTTTAATTCATTTATAAGAACATACTACTACCAACTAACCACTAACTAAATGTGTAATTGCTTCTGTTTAGAAAATGTTAAAGAATGAATTGGATTATGTATGTTTTCAGTTCAGATGGGTAGTCAGTAGTGTGCAGTACTTTGCAATGTTTAAAATTAGTTTTACGGTGACGACTCATACATTTTACACGTATTTATAAATATGTTCTGACTGAAGCAAACACACTCAGAAAATTTGTTTATTTAAAGTGAGGTGGAATGAAGTGTTATTTACTTTGTGACCAAATGCAGTATTTCCAGGCCTCTTCCAGAAGTACCACTTGTGAGTCCCTGCTACTAAGAGCAGTATTTAGATTCGCTGGAAAACACGCTCAAGTTTGATGCCAAAGAAAGGATAACATGCTCTAATGCTGTGGAGCAACTCTTCATCGCCATAAACCACCTGATGAGCCTCAGTGGCATTAGTCATTAGTAAGTGTGTGTACATGTTTTTCAGAGAGTGTTATCCATGTCTGACAATATGAGGCTATTCATGTTGAATCTGAACTGGTCTAAAATGTTTATTGTATAATTGCCACCTCATGTATTTACCTTATATATACAGTCAATGGTATTTACTTGTTTCTAAATGAGGACTAAGAGTTTAATTTGGAACCAATGATATGATTGAGATTCAAGAGCATACAACTGAGATTCTGGCGTGAGAAACTGTGGATCAAACAGGGCTGCCAGTTTCCCTCACGTTTCAAGAAACATGGAAATTAAGACATGGCTACATGTATTATAGTGAGAAGAGTTGTCACATCCGGTAAGACCTTGCTACTCTAAATCCCTCATCTAATCATGAAAAAAAATCAAAACAACAGACAGTCTGTTTTGTTGCTGTTAAGCCTTTAAAATCTCTGAGTCAAGTTCTCTGAGTCAAACAGCTAGAGGTTTACACTTTACATGCGAAAGGCTGTTGCACTTCTGAACAAAGCTGACAACTCTCCTTGTATTCCAAAAATGTCACACCTCTGATCAAAGTGTATGTAAGTGTAAAATTAGGTTGAAGGTTTCCGCTTTGGGTATAATCATCTGGATCGCAACAGCATCAAGCTGTGAGCTGCAAAAATGTCACGCTGGCCAGAATATCAAAGTCTTCTGGTAATTTAAAAAATAAAATCCATATTACCAAGTAATGAAAAGTATCAAAGTGAAAATGATAGACATCATTTATAGTGTTGCTGTAGTAAACAGAAAGGGAAATTGGATGCAGCAGGATACGTGGTGGGGGTTCAGTGATGTGGCATGATGTGAAACTGAAGCTGTTCCTCCAACTCAAATGACATCAGCCAGTCTTTTGTGGTGCAAAGCAGCCAGGATGAATTGAGTCATGGCGATTTGTTCTTCATTCATGCTGTCTTAACGGTATGATGCTGATCCTGCCTGCCCTTGATAATGTACTACAATGCCTGTATTCAAGCTGGTGCAAGCAGATCACTAGTAAGGGAGGGCTCTCAGGGTTCTGTCAATTTTATATTAAAATCCTGCTGAAGTCCAAATCATAACTGCAACCTAACCAGCTAACAGCCAAAACAAAGTTATTGCTGCACAGGAATGATGGGAAAACAACAATGTTGATGTCCTGGAGAGGCAACATAAGAGTTCAGATGGTCGGACTTGAAAATGCTGTTTATTCACTGAGCCATGCACTAGGCAGAGTTGACAACACAAAACCAAGATAAATATTTGTCCCCCTGTGACCTGGGTAATGCATGCCACATGCCACCTTTTTATAGGTCTGCAGACCCAGGTAACATTGGCACTTTCATGCTCTCATGACTACTGTATTACATTAGTAGAAGGTTTCATCTCCAGGTCAACATTGCAGTTTGAGCCCCCTTTTTTCTCCCCCAGAGACTGCTGCTATAAAGTTCAGCTTTCTATCTGATATCAACACTTTTTCATTTATCTTCTAACTTCAGCTGAGCCTCAGCAGCATGTCAATACTACTTATAATCAATTAGGACTGTGGCAGTAGATCATGTCTGTTTAGTCACAGTGGCGTACTCAGGCTGTCCAAATATAAAGGGCACCAGCTGCATGCGCCGGGGCACCAGGCCATTTAGTTAGTTAACACATTTTATAGGGCAACATTTTACAGCCTATATAGGCTCATATAGCCTACATCACATTTTCTCTATTTTATAGGGCACTCTATGAGGGATTTTTTTTTTTTTCCCAATTTAAGGGCACTCATTAGTGTCCTGCATCCTGTTTTCTACACTGAAAGGACACCATAGAGGGTATTCATTACGTTTTCACCATTTTAAGGACACCCATTAGTGCACTGCGTGATGTTTTCTCCACTAGAAGGGCACCCTAGATGGCACTTTATCATGTTTTTTTGCACATTGGGCCACTGTAGAGGGCACTTTATCATGTTTTAAAGATAGAGTAGAGTAGTAGAGTCCACCAGTGTTCAGGCACATACCATATTTGTGGATTACCTGGATCAGAAAGTAACTTTACCTACCCAGATTAAATGTCTTGGATTCATTAGGTTTAATGGATTAACATCTCGTCAAGGTAGCATTTATATTTTTGTTTAATGTTAGGAAACTGTTGTAGTTCAAAAGAGTATTTGTGTTTTATCCTGAACTGACAACAGACCAAACTACTTAAAAATTTCAAGGCTGAACTGAGGTCAGTCAGGAGCAGTGCATTAGCTTTGTGTATCAGTGTCCCAAATGGACAAAGTTCCTTTCTTGTACGCCCATAAAAACTTTCAGTGCAACAACGCAATAGATTGTGTCAGCTCAGCTGGGATCTACACAGGGTGACTGCCTGGAGTCGACATTTGAATGTCGGCACTGTCACTCACCAGCGAGGGGAGCTCTGATGCAAAAGCTACTGATTCGGTCATCGAGAAGATTGCCATTGTCATTCATACATGTACTGAACACCTTTATCTGAGACAGCGATGTCCCAAAAAGTTTGGATCCATTTCTGTCAACTTAGATTGGGAATGACTGATTTGAAAATGTGATTCTGTTGAAGGTTCGACCAACATACATCATTCAAACTTGCCTTCTGTTGCTTGTTTTGCATTATTAAGCACTGCTGAACTCATGAACTACACTGTAGCTGTCTGGCAAAGAAATGCTTAAACCTTCATTTGGTGATTACTTCAACAATGCTTCCAGTTGTCTTTTTGAAATGAACTGTAAAATGTACTTCAACTTTTTATTTTTATTTAATTCCATGCCAAAGGGCAAAGCATCACACATTAATGTCTATCATTTAACTTTCATCATCATTTGAAAGCAATATTTCTCCTTTCCCAAAGCAGTTGTATCTTTTCGACTTCAAAACTTGTCAAGTCCTCTTGAGTCCTGTCTCGTTACAGGAATACTCTCTGCTGTCTAGGCAGGGCTGAATGGTGCAGATCACAAATGGATTTAGCTTTATTTAATGTAGGAGACAGTAAAAGCCTGCAGATGCAGCTCCCTAGAGCAGATATGCACTTTACTTTTAGAAATGAAGTTATAACACCTAGATGTTTTGCACATTTAATTGAAGAAACCAAACGTTGGTGTTAAATATTAATGAAAGGTGAAATCTTGCAATGCAACATTTGTAATTGTAAGAGAAAAAAAAAATTCCGAAAACCTAGATTCATGCCAAATTAAGTTTTCCTCTGTTTCAGTCCAGTGCACCAATCGCAATAGGTGATATGAGTTCTTGTCGTACACAGTTAATGAGTCAGAACTTCACTGAGTCTGAACAAGTCTTCAAAACTCAAGGGCCAAGCCTTATCATGAAGTGACCCTGTGACACGGCTACCACTCCTGTTCTGCTCAGTTGCTCTGTTTAATTAATCACTTTACCGACTTCTGGTTGCTGGCATAAGTTTAATTGCTTCTGTTTCATTTACTTTCCCTAAAATCCAGTAGGGTCACATTTAGCTGCAACTGACAGATTCTTCCTGCAGGACAGCCAGGCTGCCCAGGACTTTAAATTTCATTCCAAAATAGGAGAATCTGCCTTTTGAAGTCTGGCCAAGAATTACTCCCTGTCTGTCTGAGAGTGGAATTTAGTAGGGCTTCCTCTCATGTTCAAGTGGGAAATGCCTCCCCCTGCATCACCTCATGACAGACTGATTGATGCCCTATACCTGCTCTGAACGGAGTAATGGCCTTCAATGTGAGTGCAGGTCTACATGACACAGAGAAAACCTGTCTGTGTGTGGAGACTCGGTTAATTTTCTGGCTCTCTGCTGACAGTTGGTCAGCACGATGAGGAGAGAGTGAAAAGTTAGAAGGGTTTTATTGCTGATGGTGATTGTTTCTACAGCTGAGACACAATCTGAGGTGTTTATATCTTTATTTGGTTTAGAAGACGTGTTCAAGCAGATGTGCCTTTGGGGTGAAAGGGTAGGGCATCAGTGCAACAAGGTATATAAAGAATTTCCCTCCCACTTGGAGCTTTTCAAGCACTCTTTATCTGCTCCCCCTCCCCCTCTACAATTGACACAGAGCCTATTACCACAGTTATCTTGGCTGAAGCAGCCCAAGGCAGCTGGACAGCTAGAGGTGTTGCACTCCAAGCAAAGCAACAATCCACAGGGATCCTCATTTAAAGCCTTTTTTTTTTTACAATTCGGTTACCATAAACCCGAGATTTAGCACAGTGCTGGTGTTTTTTCATGAACATAGCATGAAGTTCTTCGCTTTGTTTCATGTGAAGTCGCAATTAAT